AAGTATGATCCTAGCTATAGGTTTTTGGTTGATAATTTATTTGAGCAAGTTTTATATTCCTTGTTTTTTGAGAGGTTTTTATTTTTTATCAAGATTTTTTTTTCTGCATCAATGAATAGGATCGTATAATTTTTCTCTTTTAATTTGTGAATATGATAGGTTGCATTGATTTTCAATATTCAGTCAGCCTGGCATTCCAGCAATAAACCCCATTTGATCAGAGTGTATAATACTTTTTAATTATTGCTGAATTCTATTTGCTAATATTTTGTTAAGTATTTCTGTGCTTGTGAGGGATTTTGGTCTGCATTTTTTTGTTGTTGTTTGCCATTTTCTTTCTCTGTATTCTATTTCCTCTGATTTTTATTTCTCTGTCTTCTTTTTCCTGCTTCCAGTGGGTTATTTGAACATTTTTTAAGAGTTGCATTTTGATTCATCTGTAATATTTTTTGAGTATATTTCCTTGCAAAGATATATTTTTTAAGTGGTTGCTCTGGGTAATATATTACATATGCACATCACATCCTACTGGTGTTTACATTTTACTAGAGTGAAGTGGAGAAACCTTGCATACCTTAAGTTCCTTTGCCTTTCCCTGTTTCTAATGTAATTTTCTTGAATATTTCTTCTATACATATCAAAAAGCACATCAGACAATGTACACTTTTTGTTTCAGACACCAAACATAATTTAGAAAGCTCAAGAGGAAAAGGAAAGTCTGTTGTATTTACGCATATTTTTGCTTACCATGTTCTTTATTCCTTCTCAATATTTCCAGGTTTCCTCTTTTTTTTGCTTATTTTTGTTTCCAGAACTTTTCTTTAGTCATTCTTTTAGGGTAGGTCTGTTGGTGACAAATTCTCTTAGTTTTCTTTTGTCTGAGAATATCTTTATTTCCCATTTATTTTTGAGACATAATTTATCATGTTTAGAATTCAGGGTTGACATTCTTTTATTTCAGCAATTAAAAATATTGTTCCATTTTCTTCTGGCCTCCAAGGTTTCTGATCAGAAATCCACTGTCATTCGAATTGTTTTCCCTCTTTAGGTAAGGTGTTGTTTTTCTCTTGCTGCTTTCAAGACAGTTTGTGTTTAGTTTTTAGTTTGATTACAGTGTGTCTTGGCACAGATTTCTTTGAGTGTTTCTTGTTTGGGAGTTAATGTAATTTTTTGAATCAGTAGGCTCAGCTTACATGTTTTAAAAATTAGTGAACTTTTCAGTCACTATTTCTTTAAATACTTTTTCAACCTTAGCTTTTCTTTCCTCTCCTTCTGGGACTACAGTGACATGAATTTTAGATCTTTTGTTATAATTCTTCAAGCTCCTGAGGCCTCATTTATTTTATTTATTTTTATTTTATTTTATGAGTCTACTTTGTTTTTCAGATTGGGTGATTTGTATTCTGTTCTATTTTCAAGTTCATTGAGTTGTTCCTCTGTTTTCTGCATCCTACACTTGAGCTCATCCATTTGCTTTTTAAACTTCAGTTATTTTTCAATTTTAAAATTTCCATTGGGTTCTTTCTATGTCTTCTTTTTCTTTTCTGGAACTGGAAAGCCTGATGATACATTTTTGAAATGTGACTAAGGGAAGAATATTTTATTATCTTAGTTCTGCCCTTTGAAGCTGTACCAAATAAGAATATTAATACTAACAGTCGTAGTGGTTGAGGACTATTTTGTGTATGATTTACATTGATTACTGTATCTAATTCTTAAGTAATTCTATTTTTTACTCATTCAACAAATGTTTACTGGCTACCTACCGTATATAACACTATTTTTTTTTTTTTTTTGGGTCAGTCAAATATTTTGATTTGGCTTCAAATGGTTAATCAGCTTGTCCTTTATTTACTCAGGAAAGAACTTCATTTCTACCTCTTTTGGTTGGTTGTAGGCATTGGGAGAAAGAGAGCTTGGGAGCTGCGCTCTCACACCTTCACATAAACCAGCCAAGAATTTTCATTTAGCGTTTCTACACTTTATTTAATTCAGTTTGGAGATTTATCAGTGCTTTTGTATGGAGCAATGTTATATTTTCAAAGGGTTTTCTGAGATATAAATACTCTTAACTTTTTGGGTAGCCATAAATTTATAATTGTCAATTTGTGCCGTGAGAAAGATGAGGAAGCACTTCTCTATTTTGTAGATTAAAGAATATTTTTCCCTACCAAGTGAATTCTGTGTATATTAGATAGCCCAACTTCATCATTCTTCACAAATAAACTTCTTAACAGTATTATCTCCAGTGGTTTTCAAACATTATTGAGATCATAATCACCTGGTGGGTTGTTAAAAAACAGATTGCTAGGCCTTATCTACAGAATTTCTGATTACTTAAGTCTCGGCTGGTGCCTGACAATCTGGCACTTCTAACAAGTCCCGGGGTGATGTGGCTTATGCCATTTAGCATGGGATCCATTTGTCTACACACAATTTGTCTACTTCCTTGTCTCCCTTTGATTCTTCAGTTACTTGAACAGATTTTAATTTTCATTATTCTATCCAAAGTGTTTTCTCTAACATCCTCTGAGCTTCATGTTGCCAAATCAAATGCAAACTTTTCAGTTCCTTATCTTACCTACTATATGGAAATCATTCACCATAGTTACTTTCTCCTCCTGCTAAGTAAACTCTTCTGTTTGGCTTGGAGAAATCCATCTCCCTCCCTCCTCCTTTTCTTTCTGGCCTGCTCGTCAGCCTCTCTTTTTCTCAATCCAAAGTCTAAATGTTAGAATGCAGTCGGGCTTCTCTCCATATCTTACTTTATCTTCTGTTTCTAAATGATCCACTTAGTCCAATCTGCGTGCTAGTAATTCCAGTTTATGTCTGGAGCTCGGACTTTTCTTTGTTACAGCTTAACAAATTGATTTTTTATATGCCTACTTGAATAACTTATAAATATTTTGAAAAATACATCCAAAATCAGTCACCATACTTAACAAATTCTAAGATGCATATTTTTATCATTTTAATATATGTGAATTTTATAGTCAATGACATCTTAAATTCTATAAGTAGAGTATTTCCTTCCTACCCCTTTCTAATAAAAAGTGTTCTTCCTCCAGCTTTTTCCATCTCATAAGTAGTCTTTCCTTCCATCCAATTGTTAATGCCAGAAACTTGGGATTTATCCTTGACTCTTTCAGTCTTTCTTAAATTTTTTTTTTTTTTAAGTAATATCTACACCCAACATGGGGCTCAAATTCATGACACTGAGATCAAGAGTCCCATGCTCTACTGACTAAGCCAGTTAAGGTGCCCCCTTCAGTCTTTCTTAGTTCTCTTATTTCTACCTCCGAAACATCTCTCAGTTCCCTTTTTTCTTACCTTATTTGTTGCTGTCACCTTTGTTCCAGCCATAATTACCTGTCCCATGGATTATTGCAAATGCCTATTAACCTTGGTGTCTTCCAACCCAATTTGAGTTAGTACTTAGATTCATCTTTTTAAAATGTAAATCAGTTCATGTCAACATCTTGCTTAAAATCCTTCAGTGAATGAAATCCACAATCTTCAATATAGCATAAAAAGTCCTCTCTAAGCTGGTTTGTGCTGCCTCACCTCATTTAGGATTCATTTTGGTTCAGACACACTGGTGTTCAATTGGTTGTTCTAGAATACCCTGTTTTCACTTCTTCCTGGGATGCTCTTTCCTCTACTTTCTGTCTGCCTATCTCCTTGCCTTTAGGCCACATATTTCATTTCTCATTTTAAAGATCACTTCTTTAAGGTCATTGCTGACCCCAAAATCTGCATTAGCTCTTATTATACTGTTTCATGGTGTTTTGAGAGTTCTGCCCTTTGCACTTATTATATTCTCTCATAGTGTACTCTCCTGTATGACATTCATGATTTATTTATTGTGTTTATCTTCACTCTGTTCTATGTCTCACTGTTTTAGTCCTTATGCTAGAGCTTAGCACAATACATAGCAAATGGAAGGTATTTAGTAAATAGTTTTAAGAAAAATAAAATATGACTGGAGCTTAAAAAGATGCATATGTACACATATAAAATAAAAAGAATTTTTTTTAAATGTAAGGCAAATAAAGAGCACATAAATCTGGGAAATGGATATTCCTTCTTAGTTGCCAATTACATATATTGTCTGACAAAATTATTATAAAAATATACCTTTTATGAGAATGCAATTTCTGTAAAAAATTTGAAAAATTATTTCAAAGTAATTTTAAGAAATTCATGATATTTAAGTAAAGTTGATTTTATTTTTACTAATAGAAATTCAGTGACCCTGTTTTTTTCATTTTCATACAAAATTAATCTTTTGTGTAACCAATTCTTCCTTTTTAAACCACCCTGGTTTTTTGGGGGGAGGTTTCAGCATTATAAAGAATATCGTACTACATCCAGAAACAACATTTAATTACTTTTTTTTTTTTAATGTTCCTTAACCTTTGGAGAACAAACTCATGTCTGTAGGCCAGCATGGAAAAAAATAGCATGAATAACAGACAGAGTGGATAGTCTTTTTCTTTTTCGAAATATATAATTTTTTCATTTCTATTCCTGTTTATTATTAGCCTTTTCTCTTCTTGCAGAACTTTTGATCTGTAGGATCCATCTAGAGTACATAAACTTTATATTCTACATTCTATAAATTTGGCTCATTTGGAATCTTAGCTTTCTCTTGGTATATATAGTGAGGGCTGCAGACAAAGTTCTTGAAACCAGACAGGATCACATAGTTTAAAATGTTTATAATGTCTTTGTCTGTCCTTTCTTTCGCTGTCTCCTTTACTGCACTCTTTGTCTGTCTGACTCTCACAGGAGACATGGATTACAACTGGTTGGACCATACGTCTTGGCATAGCAGTGAGGCATCCCCAATGTCTTTGGTGAGACATGTGGAGCCTTACTATTTAATTTTCGTTTTTCATTTCACTTTTCCTTTTTTATTTACACCTTTGCATGTTTTCTTTTTTGTATCTTTTTTTTATTATTATTATTTTTGTTTTATTTTTATCCCACACCTGTAGGGGACAGTCAAAAGGGAAAAAGAAAAACTAGTGAGCAGGCAGTTTTGTCGGACTCTAACACCAGGTCTGAGAGACAAAAGAAAATGATGTACTTTGGTGGCCACTCTTTGGAAGAGGACTTGGAATGGTCTGAGCCTCAGATTAAGGACTCTGGGGTAGATACCTGTAGTAGCACAACCCTTAACGAGGAGCATAGCCATAGTGATAAGGTACTGACATTGTGGAGCCTGCCTTTTAACCTGCTCATTTGGTCTTCGTTTGCTCTCTGTCACTCATTCAAACAGAACATAATAAAAGGACAGGGCATTTCAGGGGTCAATGTAGCATTTCTTAAGGTGCAGAAAAGAAAAACAAAACCAAAACAAACAAACAAACAAACCAAAATACTTCTTGCTTGCTTTGCTGTTTTTGTTGTTTGACGGCATACCAAAAAATAAGTAAATGAAATAAAAAATTAGGAACAAAGGAATGCTTTGTCTATGGTCGCATGAGAGAACTTTGTGATGTTTTTATAAACCACAAATATAAAGAATTTTTGGATTGGCTTATTTGATTGCTTGCATATATTTTCCTTGGGATGAAAATTAAATTATTAATAGTTTCAATCCCAGGCAAAAGGGAGATAATTGGGTCTGTTTGCACAGAAAAAGTTGTTTTTCTTTTTTCCCTTTCACTGTCATTTTGCTCTTTTGTTTTATTGTCATAGCATTTTAATGTAGTATTAATTAGTACTAGAACCATTGCCATCTGCTTTGGTATTTATTATTTTTGCTTTTAGAATAGTGAGACTTTTGAAATCTTTTTACCATATAAATTGATTGAAACTTGTATTTTGCTTGCCAAATTTTGCATGAAGATGTGCATGTTACTTTTAGATGACTATGAAACTGTGATTACACAAATCGTTTACTTTGTTATTTGACATACAATTTATAATGGATGGTGTAATGATTTTTAAAGGGCTTGGCTCTGCCCTGAGAAAGAGATAAACTCCTAATATTTTCAAGCTTATTTAACAGTGGATATACCATGAATTATCTAATAAACTTAATTTACTAAATAGATTAAAGACCCGAAAGAACCAGTGAACCTACAAAAAGTGAGAAATATAAACTAGCCTCACCTTTGAATTAGGTCTCTTTCTCTCATGCAGATTCAACTGAAAAGTTACTGGGGCTTGTGTATTTTTATAATTTTAATCTAGAAACCTAATTCAAAGAAGCCCCTATCATAGGTTCAAATTTGATGTGTTTCTATAATTTTACCTTTTAACTTTTACTGTAATTAAGTCTTTCAAAATCTCCAGTAGTGTTTGAATATTAAAATATCATTTTAAATGAATCTAACCTCATAGAATTTCAATCTATTTTTTCTGTCATATGAATTTTTAATTAATCTTCAGTGTATAGATAGTTTGCATATATTTTCAAGATTTCTCAGATTTCACAGAACAATATAACTGCAGTAATGTGTCAGGGCACTGTAAGAATTTGTAGTAATTGGATTTCGAAAAATCTTGAGATTATAAAATTGAGCTCTGCATAATGTAGTAAGCCCTTTTGATCAGTGTGTTAAATGCAAACTGGTTTGTGTAATCATAACCCTTTGGAAATCTGGAGTTTAGATACATTGTACAACAAGGGGTCATTTATCATAAAAGAAAATTAATTTTTTTGTTTGTTGATGTAATATGTCAGCACCCTGTGACGTGGCAGCCATCTAAAGATGGAGATCGTTTAATTGGTCGCATTTTGTTAAACAAGCGTCTAAAAGATGGAAGTGTGCCTCGAGATTCAGGAGCAATGCTTGGCTTGAAGGTATGTGATGAAATACGAGATTCTGGCTCTCCACTCCTTAATGATTTATGAGAAAAGCAAAAATTTAACAACTCTTTCCAATTTATGCCAACTTGGTGTTTTTTTTTCCCCGTTTCCAAGAATTCCCAAGCATTTGCACTCATTACCCCACACCTTTTCATTTTCAGTATTACTTATTCCACAATAATACTTAAATATATGATTTTGGAAAATAAACTCGAGTGATATGCTTGAATCCTGAATACAGCTCTCAAACTCATTTTATTTATACAGTTTGTCCTTTAAGTCTGTATCTGTGTTTATACGCTATTAAAACAATGGCTTTAATCAATTACTAAATATGCAAACTTGGGAATGTATATAGTTATGACACAGTGTTTAAAGGAAAACCACAGGCCTCAAATAGCATCACTTAGGTTAAGGCACCATATCAGTAAAACAAAACTTAATCCCTAGCTTAACACAGTTTTAGCCCCCCAGTAGTGTAACCTCTATCCAGTCAACGTGGAATTTCCTGGTCAATACTAGGAAATTTATTGATAATCTCCCTTTTGGAGGGCAGTCTTGCCTTAACAGTACATTCCTTGCTAATAAATTCTTTTCTCATTTATATATTTATATACACATGTGTGTATAAATATATATATATATTTTAATGCCCTTTCTCTGCCTTTGAAAACCTTTCTTTTGTTGAGCTCAGCAGAGCTGTCTTCAGCTTGCTAGATGAGATGCTTCCCAATTCATGAATCACTTAATAAGCCAATTAGATCTTCGAATTTAGTCGGTTGAATTTTGTTTTTTAACAATCAGAATGTAATTTTTGTTTAAGCATAGGAAAATGTGGGCGTTGTGTGTATTTGTGTGTAGGAGAAAGAGAATACTGTTTAAAGTCTGGAAACTCAAAAATACTTATGTTTGGAGATTTACTATAAATATTAATTTATATTTGACTGTAAAATACCAGGTAGTTATTTGGTAAGTAGATCAAATAGAACTCTGTGATTTTTTTTTTATTTTTTATTTTTTTATTGTTTTGTTGGTTTGTTGTTGTTGTTGTTCGTCTGTACGGTGAATTAACAACTGAATTGAAAAAAGAGTAAATGGTTTTTAGAGTTAAGCAATGGCCATGGAAGTTGTCCTATAGAATATAGTGAGATATTAGAAAACTTTGGGTGTAAGTGGAATTGGCCAACTAACATTTATTGGGTGGCTGCCCCATAGCTGGCCCTCATCTGAGCATTTTACTTCTATCAGATTATTTAATGCAACAGATGAAAAATAGGTTTAGAGAAGTGTCATAACTTGCCCATGGTCACAAAGATGATGATGGAGGTGAGATTTAAATCCAGATCTGTCCAATAGAGTGTTAGAGCAGTAAAAAGTAGAGGTCAGGAAGTCTTGGTTTGAATCCCAACTAAGTCATTACTAGCAACATGACATTGGGCAACTAAACTTCTGTTAGCCTCAGATTCCTCATCTATAAAATGGAGATAATAATGCTTATTGAATTATTATAATAAACGTAAATAAAGCAATATACAAGCATTTAGCACAGTAGCTAGCACACTGTAAGATTTTAATAATAATGATAGTATCAAGTATCATTAGTTATTATTATTAAAGTTTATCAAGCCAAGAAAGTTTTAAAATATTCCATAATATCTGTACATTTAATTTTCAGAATCAAACATAGGACTAATTAGTTAATAAGAACTGAATTGCAACTGAGGGTATTTTACTGCAACTTAGGAATAAATAACATAGAAAAAGCCAGTGTTTTTTTTTTTGACTATTTTTTTTTAATTTTGTTTTTTATAAACATATAATATATTTTTATCCCCAGGGGTACAGGTCTGTGAATCACCAGCTTTACACACTTCACAGCACTCACCATAGCACATACCCTCCCCAATGTCCATAACCCCACCCCCCCCAACCCCCCTCCCCCCATCAACCCTCAGTTTGTTTTGTGAGATTAAGAGTCACTTATGGTTTGTCTCCCTCCCAATCCCATCTTGTTTCATTTACTCTTCTCCTACACCCTTTACCTCCCATGTTGCATCTCCTCTCCCTCATATCAGGGAGATCATATGATAGTTGTCTTTCTCCGATTGACTTATTTCGCTAAGCATGATACCCTCTAGTTCCATCCACGTCGTCGCAAATGGCAAGATTTCATTTCTTTTGATGGCTGCATAGTATTCCATTGTGTATATATACCACATCTTCTTTATCCATTCGTCTGTTGATGGACATCTAGGTTCTTTCCATAGTTTGGCTATTGTAGACATTGCTGCTATAAACATTCGGGTGCACGTGCCCCTTCAGATCACTAAGCCAGTGATTTTTTAAAAATTCAGATAACATTCACTCAATTTAGAGAAAAAAAACTTATTAATGAAGTTAATTACTATTATTTGTTTAACATGCTATAAAGTTGATATATTGCTTGAATGGTAGTTGATCACAAGCATTAATTTTGTAAGAGGCCAATCTTACAGGTACCCATATGACTCCACAGCATTATTGCTAATATTTATTTTTCCTCTTTCTAAAAGATATGTATTAATAGAAATATAAAAATAGGAAAATTGGAATGCAAATGGCCTGAAGTTTACATGAGTTATAATGAGATTAAGTACATTTTGTAATTTTCTTAGGGAAAATCCATCATTATCACATTAATCAATGAGCCTGAAAGATTACTAAATAATGGAATTTTGATGGGTTACCATAACTATAGTCAAAGTAACAAATATTTATGTGATTAAGATATTTGAAATCTATAACTAGGAACGTTAATATAATTATATAATACTGTAATAGCATGTTTTTGGAAATGATAAAAACAATTCTGAAAGAAATTACAGTTTATTAAATTCTTTCTAAGGTATGTGATTTTTTTTTTTTACAAATAATTGTGAAAATTTTAGAATATGTGAAAAAAAGTCCACTCATGGAACATGTAGTCAGTTTCTAATAACACCATATTATTAAAAATTATTTTTAGAATATTATAGTTTTAAAAGCTACCAATTGTCTAGTTATTTTTTACTTGAATCCTCAACTATGTTCCTTTGAACAATATTCCTGTTTTAACACTTTTCTCTTTTAAAAGGTTGTAGGAGGAAAGATGACTGAATCAGGTCGGCTCTGTGCTTTTATTACCAAAGTAAAAAAAGGAAGTTTAGCTGATACTGTAGGACATCTTAGACCAGGTAGGTTTCTATCTTTGATTATTTATATTTAAACTGTTAAACTGAAGTAGTTATGAAAAAGTCATCCTCACTTAGAAATGATTTGACCAAAAACCAGGAACTCATTTTTAACTTAAATAAAAAATCTCTATTCTTAATGGAAAATGTAACTATTATTTCTTGAGTCACATTAGATAAAAAGATTTTTATATTTACTGATTCTTTTGGCTGATGGATATTCTTATTGTGTATCTAGTATTAATCTATTTTGCTTCCCATAAGGCTTCATTTTTTTTTTTTTTTTTTTTAAAGATTTTTTTTATTTATTTGACAGAGATCACAAGCAGGCAGAGAGGCAGGCAGAGAGAGAGGAGGAAGCAGGCTCCCCGCTGAGCAGAGAGCCCGACGCGGGGCTCGATCCCAGGACTCTGAGATCATGACCTGAGCCGAAGGCAGCGGCTTAACCCACTGAGCCACCCAGGTGCCCCAAGGCTTCATTTTTTAAAAAATTCCAGCAGTTCAGAAACAAACATTATAGATAAATACATATTTTCTACAACGTGTGATTCCTTATCTCTTTGGTAATGGATACTATTGGAGAGATCCTTGAGTGCCTTGAAGAGAATATGATAAGATGATAAGTATTAAGCCTTTTGTATAAGAAACTGTAGGGTGCCTGGGCGGCTCAGTTGGTTAAGTGTCTGTCTCCGGCTCAGGTCATGGTCCCAGGGTCCTGGGACTGAGCCCTGCATAGCCTCCAGCTCCCTGCTCACTCAGCAGAGAGTCTGCTTCTTTTCCTTCTGTCCCGGCCACCCCCATCCCCGGCCACCCCACTGGTGCTCTCTGTCATATGTGTTGCATAGATATTGACACACCTAGAATATAGTCATAAAATTTTCAAAGAGTTAACAGATTTTAATAATTTCTAGAATTAGATTCCTATTTAGAAACCACAGAGATAACTTTTATGTAGTTTTTATCCCTCAGACCTTTGTCCTTTTGGGTAAAAATACTAATCATCCTTGTCATCAAATTTTATGCCAATGGAGCTGTTCTCAGTATGTCGTACTCCATGATGGTGACTTTATTCTTTGAAGTTCATTGCAATTTAAGAGTGCTTTGGTTTCAAAGGCATTTTATGGGATTAGTTTTCTTTCTAAGATTATCATTACTGGAATACACTCTAGGTGATGAAGTATTAGAATGGAACGGAAGGTTTTTGCAAGGAGCCACGTTTGAAGAAGTGTATAACATCATTCTGGAATCCAAACCTGAACCACAAGTGGAGCTTGTTGTTTCAAGACCTATTGGGTGAGTCGGCTTGTGTATTTTATGCACATACCTTAAAAGTTGACTACTCTTGCACATTTGTAGTATGCAATCTAAAAATCTGATTGTTCTATAAAAATTATTGTTTTGAGGACAGTGCTTCTTTTCTCCTTATTTGCTAAAACAGCTCACCAAAAATCATGCCATTTCTTTATCTGATCATGCTAGAATACACAGTTATTATAGAAGAAGAAGAAATACTTAGGTGTTTATTATTTTTATCGTCTATTAGCTTAATAGGGGGCTAAAGGCATAGTAGGAGAAGGAGACTATAGTAACAATTACTTCTAAAAGAAAGTTCATGAACTGTAGTCCTCTACATTGTGAAAATAAGCGTCAATGAATTTTACATATTTTTTTCAAAATGGAGATTTCAACATAGCAAAGAGAGGTCCCAAGGATACACTGTTCTTAAACAGAGGGAACAGTTTAAGGAACAACATGATGTGTTTAAGGAGACAGACAAAAAATAAGCAAATACCAAAGTACTCCTTGGCTTTTGTAATTTTTTACCTCTAGATTCAAATAGCAATTTCCAAAAGTTGGCAATAAATACAGTCTTTTGTACTGTACGCTGATAATTTCTCATTAAATATCACAGCAGTGTTTCCCTTATAGAAGCTTATATTCTAAGCCAATGTAAGAGATCTACCTATAACTAAGTAAAAGCTGTAGAAAAAGTATAAGCAATGGCAGCAAATTATTAAGTGCAAGTTTGGGGTAAGAGTATTTGAGGGTGGGAGCTATAAAAATTCTTTTTTTTGTTGAAGAATACCAATGCCCTCTTGTCATTCATTTAGGAAATGATTGACTATATTATTTTGATCTCTTTTTATGCTGGAGAAAATGACTTACATTGTAACTTTAGATTTATTGAATTGTTCCTTTCAACGTAATGAATATGGCACATGAAGTTGTAACTTTTTCATTTTTCTTTTTAATGTGGTAAAACTGCAGTGTATCAGTTTATTGTATTAATCAAATATATTTCTTGGTATTAAAGGATCCTTTAATCATATTTTTGCTTAATATCTCAAATTCATAAATATTCTTTTATATATTTTTCTGAATGACCTTTACTATTCAAATCTATCAGTCCTGGAAAATCTCCAACAAAAATGTCCATACTTTTGGCATAAATCAGTTACCATTTGTAAGTCCCAATGAAAAACTGTTTGCATTTTTTCCTCAATGGAGTTAATACATTTAAAAAATTTCATCCACAATCTGAATCTTTAAATTTTTCTTGTGATGATATTTTATTTATAACTCAATATTGTTGATTAAAGAATAGAATAGGATTCAAATATATCGTAAAAGCTATCTTAAATTCAAAAATTTATTAAAATGGGCAGTCATGTAGTAAAACACATAGAAAATGAAATATGTTTTTATGAGTCTGCTATAAATCATATGACTGTTTATTCCTTTCGAATAAATTTCGAAGTAGTTGAGGTTAGTTCAGAACACTTTGATTAGCAATAAAGTACTACCGCTTGTTTTCTCTTACTTATGTAACACTACTATCATGCACAGTTTTGTTCATTTTATACTGATTGATGATCATAAAAATAGCAGTTGCATTAATTGTGGAAACAATTTCTTGTTTTCTTGTTCTGTCATTTCAGAGATATCCCTAGAATCCCTGATAGCACACATGCACAACTGGAGTCCAGTAAGTCTCATTCATTCTAGAAGAAAATACTAATGTTGTCATTTTCCAGGGGTCAAATGAAGTATTTTATCTATTAATATGAAGTAAGAAATAGAATAATCTTGTTATCAAATACATAGTTATTGTATAAATGAAAAATTTAGTATTATTTCACATTATTGTGGGATAAAGTACAAAATTCTATAATATTTTAAGATAGTCTTTTTTAATCACGCCCTCTTAACTACTATATATTTTTAGATGGTTTTATTAAGGTATACTATAGTAAATTGCACTGAAGTACACAATGAGGAAAGTTTTGACGTGCAGATGAAACCATCATCACAATAAAAATAATGAACATACCCATCTCTCCTACAAGTTTCACCCCCTCCTTCCTTAATTTCTTCTAAGTTTAAAATTTACTACTTTGTAAACTAACCCTCAGTAAGTGGGGGGAATGCTTGGGACAATCTAGTGAATCATATCCTAATTCCTCTTTTTAGAAAACAGGATAGTAGTTCTGATTTGGCATCAGAGTAGTAATGGAACAATAGATAAATAAGTTTAAGTAATGTTAAATATGTAAATGTTTTTTATTACTTGTGTTTGAGTGCAATTTCAGATGTTAAACAAATGGCTTTTTTCCAGTGAACTAAGTTTCTTGATTGATTGAGGATGGAGTAAGGGGTGTTCTAAAAGAAAAGAGGAGATGGGTTGCCATTTGAAGTGTGTTGATCAGGGGAGACCATATTGAAAAGGAAGTGATTGGAGCAAAGATTTGGAAGAGTGGCTATCTGGGGGAAGAGGTTTCCAGGTACAGGGACCAAGTGGGCAGTGTCTCTCAGGCGGGGAATCCTAGTGTGTGCCGGAGGAAAGCAAGGAGGCAAGTATTGCTGCACTGGAGTGAGCAGTGGGAAGGATGAAGGATCGGGGAGACATGGCAGCCAGATTGTGTAGTTTGTGAACCACTGTAAAGTCTGCTTCGTTTTGGGCTTTTATTCTGTGGGAAATCAGAACTACATAGGTTGGTTTTGAGGAGAGATTTATGTTTTAAAATATGGCTACTGTGTTGGAAAATAGTTCAAATGGAGTCAAGGATGAAAGCAGAGAGAGTAGTGAGAAAACTATTTTGATATTTAGTATTTTATTTGGTGACTTAGGCCATTGGTGGTAGCAATGGAGTTGATGAGAAGTGATCGGATCCTACAATAACTAAGAATATACTATTAAAGTAGGTTTTTTACTTTTATTTCACAATGATAAGTGACTTTAAAATAAAGACATAAAATAAAGTCTTACAAATAAATAAATAATTTAAAAGCGATATGGTAAAGATTATTAAATGCTAAGGAAGAATAATCATTATTGTTCTTTATGTATAATTACCATTCCAGGTTCTAGCTCTTTTGAATCTCAAAAAATGGATCGCCCTTCTATTTCCGTTACCTCTCCCATGAGTCCAGGCATGTTGAGGGATGTTCCACAATACTTATCTGGACAACTTTCAGTATGTAATCACTACATTAATTTCTCTTTTTGGAATACCAAGTACTGTTATTACTATATGACAATAGCTTTTTGTAAACCAACTCCTTTTTAGAATGTAATTGTGCATTTAACCATCAGTTTTCACATTATTAGTAGTTTTGGTTAATTGAAATTTAATTTTAATTATTCAGCATAGAGTTTCCTTATTAGAGTATATTAGATTTTCTGGAATTTAATGAGAGAATTTGTGGGGATATCTAAAACCTTTACTTTAGTAATTTTATTCCAAAATTCAATGTCATGATTTTTGCTCAATAAGTTAAAATGACTATAATTTGTCCTAGACTTTTGAGAGAAATCAGATTGCTGTACTGTACAAAGATGTATATTTAAGGTGAAAGTAAATTTTATACATTCCCTGCTTTTCAAGTTTAAGGAAATTTGGTATGAATTTCATAGTAAATAATTGGGATATGAATATTGCTAAGGTATTATGATACTTGAAAAGCTTTGGTCACAAGCCAAAACTGAATAAATGGGGAAATATATAATAACTGAGTATACTGGTGATTTCATAGTAAGTGATCCCTAATCTTGAACATTTTGTATAAAAATTAAAAATTCAGTTAGGCATTTTCTGCCTATATTAGAAGAGCTTTGCAAATTTGAGTCCTCACTTTTTATCAATTTCTTCAGTTGTCACTCTCTTTTTAAACTATTTAAAATATTAAAATATCTAAATTCATCCAGTTGCATTTTAGAGACAAAATGCTGATGAGTTACTAAACTTGCAATTTTATATGTATTAAGAACTATTTAGATTCTCAAAATCCAGACATTGAATTTTGGATAAAAATGTTATAATTGAAAACTAAACTATTCTTGGGCTGTTATTTTAAGAGCAATAAGAAAAGCTTTTTTTTAATCAGCTATGTAATTTCTCCTTTTATTTTTTGGGGGTAGAGGAGGTGTTTGATTTTTACTGAAGAATTTTTATTAATTAAAAGCCATAGGAAGTATAAGAAGAGTTAACATTAAAATTATTGAAATAGTTATTAGACATATCTATTCTGGAGCTATTTTGATCACAAAAGTGACAATAACAGAAAAATTATGCAAGAAAGAAGTTGAGATACTATTAGGAGCTTGTAAATGTCTTACTAAAATGAATTTCTTCTCTTTATTATTTTCTTTTCCTTTCTCTCATAAACAGATTGAACTTTTTCACTTGAAGACAGTGGTCTTTTTTCATTTTCTTTATAAGTAGCATCTTTCTGCTTACTCTTTTACATGTATTGACAGTATAGATGTTGTCATTTATAGTTACAAGTGCATATGTATTTTCTTCCAGCACTTTAGAAAGTGATAATATTAACCTTATTTATTAAATTATTATGGCTCCATTCAAATAGTCCATCTTTAAATAATACTTAGGATGGCTGGATGATGCCAGTACATAAATGCGTGCGTGCATGTGTGTGTGTGTGTGTGTGTGTGTTTGTGTATGTATATTGGCTTCAGTGGGTGGAGGAGGGAGTGGAAGTGGAAGTTAGACTTTAATAGTAAGTAAGTACCATTTTGTTACTGTCTTTGAAATCCCAAGGCCCTATAGAAATTGGACTGGGGAGGGGTGGGGGAAGATGGAGGAGCATAGCAAAGGCATTTAGACAAATTTCATATTCAGCTATTTTTTATGCTGTTTCGAAATGAATATACTAGAAAGGTAAGACTTAAATATTTGGGGGAAATATAGACATAAAGTTTTACTTCTAAGGGTATAATTAGTGATTTAAAGTCATAGGATTTCCATTTATAAATGGTGTTAAAGTCCATGTAATTGTAATTTAAAATGTGTACATTTTATCATTTTCTTATGACTTAGAAAGGGTATGTTCCAGTAAGATAACATTAATAAGTATAATACATATTTGTTGTGGTAAATCTGGAGAGTACAGATAAGTAACTAAAAAATCAAAATCACCTATAATCCCACCACTCAAATGTAACTTTTCACATACATACATACAATTTTTTAAACAAAAGTGATAAATCTGTGCATAGTATTTTAAGAACTGCTTTTTCACTTAGTCACATATTGTACATTTTTTCTTGAAAATTTTTTCTTTAAATATTTTTCTTAAAATTATTTTAAGAGCTATTATATCATTTTAATTTAATTCGCTATTATGGGACATCTTGTTTGTTCTTAATTTATATTGCTATAAACAATGATGCCATGGAAATCCTTGAATATAACTCTTACATATTCTGTTAGGTCAGACAAAATTCTTTTGTCAGGATAAATTTTCAGAAGTAAAATTATAATAGGAAAGAAAAGAGAAAAAAATTTAAGATTCTTGAAATCTATTGCCAACATTTTCCTCAAAAATGTTTTTATGACATTAATCTTCAGTTATCTCTTCAAGAAATATATGTTAAGTTCTGACCCTAGGTCAGCCATAATATTAGTTGCTGGGAATACAACAGTGAATTAGATAGACATGGATTTTATCCTCATGAAACTTAATTTTATGTTTATTCTTTACATGCAAAAAACCACAAGATATATTGTTTCTAATATATTTAACCCTATGCCTATGAACTGGAGACAGTTTTTGCTCTAATGATATAGAGTTTAGGAAATACATCCACATATGTCACCTTTTGGGAAAATTCCTAGGAAGCCCCAAGGCAACATTACAGTTCCTATCTCCTTCTACTTATTTTACCTTTATAAATTTTTATTTTGGTGAGATTTTACCTGGGCTCATAACTCACAAGTTTATGATGTTGCTAATTGCGGAGAACAAAGATGATTTGTATGGTACGTGAGCTGACCTCCTAATATATTTGTCAGTTCATAGACTGATATCTTCTCAAATAGAAATATACATATAATTTAAATTGTTGTTTAAACTTTCACTTCAAGGTTATTGATGATTTTTAAAAATTTATGCAGGTTATTTCCTCTCTATGCTTGAATTCTGCTGCCGCTTGTTATTATCCTAGGGCATAACTGTAAAAGTGTCATTAATACATTTGGTGAGAAACTCAGTATGAGCTCAGGTTTATGACTCCTGAACTATAGGTTAGCCTTCTCAGTGTCAACATTCCCTAATTTTGATTCTTTTTAAAACTTGTGTTCTAACACAGTTCAACAGTTCCCTTCTGTAGAGGATTACTTTTGTAGTTCTTTCAATATTTTTAAATTAACCTGGAATCTTTGGCTAGTTTTTGATAGAACGTTGAGGTAAAAGACAGCCATCAACTCTTTTTAAAAATGAGGAATGGCTCAAAATTCTTTCTATAGGAACACACTGATTCTTTTTGACAGTCATATTTTATTTAACTTCTAGGTCTGTGGTTGATTTACGGCTATAATATTTCCCTACGTTACCTTGTTTTAATATTTTTCTGACTCTATTTTTAGTGATTATTTGCAAATATTGTACATATCCATTTTGTATGCACATTTAAGTGGAATAGATAACTGAAGAATAGGTATGTATTCTTCATACCTCCTTAGAAATTCCATAGCCTTTTTAAACCTTTCTGTAAATGAAAGTGTTTTCCTTTGACCTTTTGTTTATTATGCCTTTTTATTTTTTATTCCAGAAGCATTGCCTAAAAGGAATGCCCTAAAGATAGTAGTGCAGTATGGTAGAGTGATATTAAAAATGCAAAGTAAATTATGTATAAATTCACTTCTTCTGTGACTCTTGTAACTGAGTTGTTATAGGTTTCAACAGATATTTCCTGTTTAAAATACGTTAATTAGTATTAGTTACAAATTGTAATGCCATATATAATATTTCACCACTAAATATCCAGAATCTATAGAGGCAGAAAGCTGCTTAGTCCTTACCAAGAGTTGGAGTGATAAGGGAATGGGGATTGATTACTTCATAGGTACAGTATATTCTGGGATAATACGAGATTTTGAAACTAGAGGGAGGTAGTGGTTGCACAGCGCTGTGAATGTACTAAAAGCCACTGAATTGTACCCTTTAAAATGGTTACTTTTAGGGTATTTGTATTTCATCTCCATTTAAAAAAACTAGCAAAAGAAAAATATGCTTTTATAGCTAAGTTCGATGTATAAATTTAAGAGGTGAAGATTAGTTTTAAATTACCGTAGATTGTAGACTACCAGCTTCAGAAATCTGTGAGTTGCTTATTTGAGACCATTTTAGAAAATGTCAAATGTTTGCCTTCAAGGACTAATTTATTCCAAAGTGCTGTTTGTCTCAAATTAATTTTTTTTTTAGTTTGTGAAGTAATATTTACTTCAAAAGCCTTCCATTACCTTGCTACTTTGGGTCTAAGACAGGCAGAACAGGTGAGAGAGCAAGGAAAATAAAATCTATTTCCAAATAGAGTGTTTTGTTAGTCCCTTCGTTCAGCTTGCCTTGTCAATCTCTATGCGTTTCATACATCCCTGGGTCATTTGCTAGAGAAGTATCCACATAGGATTATGCTGAAAGATATCAGTAACATACTCCATTTCTAAAGATTTCTTTCTTCCTTTGGAAATGTCTCCACATGAAAAGGAAGATGGCTTAGATTTGAGACAGCCTTGGTTTTCGGAGAGAGAGAAAGATGACTCATATGATTGATACCTGCTTATAAGGTCTGCTTTCCCTTGGGTTTTAGATTTATGTCTTAACAGTCTCTATCTGATGATAATTGAATTAGGCAACTGTCCGACTGCCTATTATCTGTTCCTTATAACAGTGGAAAGGTCTGAGGCCTCTATTTATAACTCTTTGAATTAGACAAGAGAGATATCCATGAGAAATGTGAGGAATGGGATGGAATCTTAATGGAAAAAAATGAATTAAATGCCTTGAAATCCATCCCGAAACCCAGACATATGCATCTGATTTTTGTTACGGATTTAACCATTGACATGCCTTAATAAAGACACAAAATTCTGATTATTGTAGTGTCATTTGGAAACTGTTTTCAAGTGAAAACAGAATAAGCCAGAAGAGAAAGAAAATTTGACTTTATTCTGGGAATTTGAAATAGACTGATTTAAATTTAAATAGACTGGGCTTCGCTTTTCTTTTCTCTTTTCTTTTCCTTTCTTTTCTTTTCCTTTCCTTTCCTTTCTTTTCTTTTCTTTTCTTTTCTTTTCTTTCTTCTCTTTCCTTTTTTCTCTTCTCTTCTCTCCTCTTCCCTTCCCTTCCCTTCTCTCCTCTCTCCTTTTCTTTCCTTTTCTGTTTTTGTTTTTTTAGAACCCAGCTTTATTTTCTACCTTTAAACTATCTTACTTTTTGTTTGAGTATAGGCAACTGTATGCAGCCTTTTTCTATGTCTCTGTTTCTTCCTCTCAAATTAGATATAATAGCAACTACCTCCTAATGTTGTTGGAAGCAATGAACTTGCAATAAATTGTCAGTAAAAGCTTGGAAAAATATAAAGAACTACATAAATAAAAAGAAGTGAGGTATTATCATTAATAAGTGTGATTAGCAACAAACAGTGTTATCTTGAGTGATACCTAATAAGTGTTTAAAAGGGTGTTTAAATCCTAGAGTTTGGTGTAAATTCTTAAGATGTGAATCAACTAATTAATCCAGTGCCTTCTGCACACTTTTATCTTACTTTTTTTTTTTTTTAAGAAACGCTAAAGCCAACTTGTCTAATATTTTTTAAACTTTTGTTAAACATATTTTGGAGAAGTCACACAGTTACTTCTTCTACAGATGACTTTTCACTGTAATCCTATGATGCATTTTCATGTAACATCTTCTTGGACTATGATTTTTTTTCTATGGTAGTGTGTTTAAGGGTGAAACTTGAAATTTCTTGACTCTTGGATTATGTTTATACTTATTCTTTCAGAGTATATGAGCCCCAAAGTGTTATTTTACATTCAGTCTTACTTCCTATTATGTTGATTACATTGAAAAATTCTAAGATTTTATATGGTTTTTATATGTTTTAGCATTTTGGCAAGATTAACTTATTCATTACACTGAAGTACTTAATTTAGATATATGTTGTTATGTAAAAAGTATATTTAAGGGATAGTTTTCTGTGTTTATTTTACTTTTGGTCTTTTAGTTCCAGCGTGTTGTCCTTTTTGGTTTTGTTTTATTGCTTTTTTCTTTAATTTTGCTTACCAGAGCCAAAGCCTTAGTAGAAGAACAACGCCTTTTGTTCCTAGGGTTCAGGTAAAGGCCTTGTCTGCCTGATAGAAACTAAAGTTGTGTTTTAACCCTTATTTGTATGTTTTTGGAAAATGCGTAGTAGGAAACTTTTTTTGGTATGTTGCTCCAAACCATATTATTGACTTTCAAATCATTTTATAAGCCAGCTTGTAAAATTCTGCATGGGGATTAAAATACAATAAAAATTTAAAGAGACAATCTTTGTTAGTGATTTTATATTATGAACCAAGTACTAAACTCATAGGCTTCAGACTGTACTTATATATATGTATATGTAACATTAACAAAAATAGCTAATTTTATACTGTTGATATTATCCTTTATTACACTAAGGTTGCTGTCTCTTTAAATCATTCATTATATCACTTAACATCTACATTCTCTTGCATTTTCCAAGCAACAACTCCTTGAGGAGATTGGCAAATAAATTTGTACCTTATCTAAACTATGAATTTTATACATATCATATATAAGGTTCAATTTTGGAAAGTGTATTACTTTGAAAGAACAAAATAACAATCTAAATAAAATATGTTGGGTTTATGTTGCTTACATTTTGTAATTGAAATATCATTTAATTTTACCGTAATACTTGGTACAAGTTGTTTGCCTCTTTTCATTAGGAAACCCTTATATGGTAAAGTAATGACAATATAGTTTTTTTTTTTTTAAGTAGTAGTATGCTTTCCTTGCTTTGCTGCATGTTTTTTTTGTTGTTAGTTTTGAATAATACTAATTTAGCTTAGATTTTAAAAATTGCAATTGTTTAGTTAATGTTATTTAGAGTTAAATATTTACTTGCGCTGTTCAGTTCTCCTTAGGAAATTTGAGAATGGGTACATGGTTAAACTAGAATGATTGTTATATTAAAACAATTAAAATGATGCCAAGATTTCTATTAATGAAATTGAACAAAGATAAGAAGTATGTCATATCTAGGATTGTGGAGATACATTTGTTCTATTTTGGGGAAATCAACATACATTTTAACCATTCATTTGAAAAGCACAGATAAGAAATTTAGGACTATGATAAAATAATCTAGCAAATAAGATAATTCTGTTTTGATAAGGTGAACTGGATATCTATTAAAAACTTCAATGCAAATCCTGTAATACAAAATGAAAATTAGGGCTATTGATCAAATGCCTAATTTCAGACAGTTTATTAAAAGTTGTAATTTTGATGAAAAATCCGTAAAACTAAAAAGTGCCTGTTTTTTTTTTACCTATATTATTTTAACATTTATGTATTTGGAAAGTATGATTTAATAAATTGTAAGGTATAATTGTGAAAATATGAAAGCCATATGCCTAATATCTGTTTGCATGAAAAATGAGTATTATTGACAAATGATATTTTTTGTTTTCTGTGGCATAAGGAAATCTAAAAAGAATACTCCTTATCAAACATTTGAAGTTATGTATCTGAAATGTTTCTAACCATTTGAGAAGAGCAAAAAGATTGCCCATGGAGAGGGCAAGTGTTCAGCCTCACCCCTCATAAAAGTGGGCACAAATCAATGATTTTCTCCAATAATTGTGAACTTAGTCTAATAATAATTATTATTGTTTCTTAGTTTCTGACAGTATAGTTCATCAGAAAATTGTTCTTTAGCCTTTCAGAATCTTTTCCTCTTTGAATTGCCTAATATTCATGTCATGATCCTCAGAGAAGGATTTTCAATATCATGGGAAAATAAAGCTATAAGCTTTTTTTTTTTTTTTTGCTTTAGATAATAGAGAATATCAGAAATTAATGTGGTTTTGGTAACACATTTTAGAGGAACCATGAGGCTATGTGACAACATCTGTTTTATCTCATATACGAGATTCTTGTATTTCTTTCTTTTGTTGTTGTTTCCCCCTTATGTCTTTTGCCAGAAAAATAGTCTTTTTTCCCACTTATCCTCATCTGTATCTGTGTTCTCATATTGTTACACAAGGAAATACTTGAACTTTTTTTCTATTTGCATGTTAGAGTTTCCCCCTAACCCCCGGTTTGTTGATCTCCTAGTTTAAGGCAGTGGTTCTCAAACTTGAATGCCTATGAGAATCACCAGGAGGATTTATTAAAACACGAGTTCCTGGGCCCCGTTCTGATTCAGTAGGTGACAGGTGGGCCATAGGAATTTGGAACTTTTTAACAAATAAGCCAGATAACGCTGATATAAGGAGGTTAGGGAGCCACACTTGAAGAAAAACTTGTCTAGAGACTATACCTGGCAGCTCTATTAGGAAAATTTTGTTGCACAACAGCTAGAAAATACCTGCCTTCCACATAAGGACTTAGTACAGCGTGAAGAGTAATAATTATAATTTTTAAAAATTAAATACTTCTTGCTATTACTAAGAGGGCTAATTCCATTTGACTGAAAATCAGGATAAATAATTTTATATACTCTTCTGGGCCATCAGTCTTCCTCTTCTGAGTCAAAAGTGTTGCTCAGCCTCTCATTCTCTAAAATCTGAAGTGAGGAACAGAACAAAACCATGCTAGAAATGGAACTATACTACCAGTCTATCATGTATACATGCATATATATACATTTATTTTATATGATTTGATCTATATGTGTATGTATGTATGATATGTATTTATTCATGTATGTCAGAGCCTGGCCCAGACCCAACTGGGCACTTCAGAGGAAGAGGGGAAGACTAACATGAAATGTATATTTATATTTTTTAAACTGCTGCAAATATTGTACATCCAGATTAAAAGAAAAATTGAACTATTAAAAAGCATATAAACCACAAAACTCTATCTCAACCATAATTTTATTCCCAGATTTCAGCTTTTGGATTCGATATCAAGATAGTGGTCAAAGATGTGCTGAGTTCTGAACCAAAATGTGGGGTAGAGCCATGGTTATAAATCCTGACATGGTAGAAACAGCTAGCTAGGTGTGGGAGTGTGAGGTATGTGTGTGGGAGGTGGTAATTGTTAAATCAAATGAATTTAGCAGCTGGATATGAAGTTCTAATCCCTAATTATGTCATAGGGAAATCACTCACATTTTCTCATCTCGAATGATAAAATATATCCTATTATTCTAAGGCTGTGATACATCTTCCTCACTTAATAAAAAGGGACTTTATGTCTGTGTAAGAAAAAATCTATAAAGATGAATTTATTATAGTTTTAAATACAAACTTAAGGAGTCTATTGATTAAAGCTACTAGTAATTTCACCTTGCTTATAATCTTTGAAATGTCTTTTTAAATGAACTGTTTTATCTTTTAAAACATTTGCTTAAAAATTCCCTATGAATGCCATATAAATAAGGTATCTATTCAATTCATCTGGGCAGTTATTCTGAGCTCATTATTGTAGGGGAACTAAAATGAACCATAGTGATTCTTGCATAAAGATAGATACAGCAGTCATTGTACATAAAGTTCTTAGTTACGGCAGTGTAATTATTATGTGCATGTTAATAAATAGTCAAATTAGGATAACAAAAAGCTCAAGTGATTTATCAATCAACCCAAAATATCTAAATTATTTCCTCTATTCATTGAAGTTATTATAGCATATCCTTTTATTTTAACTCTCTGCAACTTACTAAGTAGAACTTACATTCTGTGCTCACATAAATGTAAGAGAGTGGGACAAAGATTGGAAATATAAACATTATGTTATGGTAAAAAAAAGTTTGAGCTGATAAATGAATATTTTTGCTTTTCAGATAAAACTATGGTTTGACAAGGTTGGTCATCAATTAATAGTTACAATTCTGGGAGCAAAGGATCTCCCTTCCAGGGAAGATGGGAGGCCAAGGAATCCTTATGTCAAAATTTACTTTCTTCCAGACAGAAGGTAAGGATGTGAAGCAAAAATAGATGTTCTTGAAAATAAATAAGAAATGTTAATAACAGTGGGTGTTTCAGTTCGGTCTTATTTATTTTTATATATCACACAAGTCAGATATTTATGAAGTTTAACAAAGTATAATGATTCAAATGATTCACATGATTCATATTTTCTTATGATCCATATTAGTCTTCAAAACAGTGACAGTGAGTGCTTCAAGATTGTTTTAAAATGCATATCAAATGTCATAGATGATTTTATTGAATATTTATTTTACATTGTATGGATTTTTCTTTCTTTTTTTTTTTTTTTTTTTTTTTTTTGTTAGAGAGAGTGAGCACAGGCAGACAGAGTGGCAGGCAGAGGCAGAGGGAGAAGCAGGCTTCCTGCTGAGCAAGGAGCCCAATGTGGGACTCGATCCCAGGACGCTGGGATCATGACCTGAGCGGAAGGCAGCCGCTCAACCAACTGAGCCACTCAGGTGTCCCCATTGTATGGATTCTTAAATGATGTATATTTTCATTTATCAAAATCATTAAAAGTTACAGTTTTTAAAATCAGGTGCATTCTTAACACAATCTACAGCAACAAAAAGCTGGAAATGATACCAGAATGTACTCATCACATTCCTTTACAACGCCTACCTCCTCATACTAAGATATCATTTCTTTATATTCCATAAAATTAATGAGTGTTTTATATTTGCCCACCCCATATCATCCAGAAACCTTTACCACCATGTCCAGAATCAGCTTCTTCAAGCATCATTGGTTTGGTTTGTGTCCATGTTAATTAGCATAAATGATATTGTTCTGCCCTAATTTAAACAGAGACATTAGGATTGGAAAAATAGCTTTTCAAAAATTATCTAATCACTTTTAATCTCCGGAACATAAAAAAATAAGAGAGACTATTGGATAGACATCATGAGAAGAGGAAGAATTAATGGCACCGATGACCTTTCCCCCAGCTCTTCTTGTGTCCCTCGTTTCCAGGACAGAGTGTTCTCAAGGTCTGGTCATTTTTTCTCAGGCTGCAAGTGGCCTGGCACAGGCCTAATCTTCAGCATGTTTACACAATTCTGGGCCCCCATGTACTTAGTTCAAGTTGAAAGTCATCAGATTTGAGTGCCTAAGTATCATCTGAAAAACAATCTCTCAAAGAAAAGGATAAACGCAAGGAAGTAGACAATTAACAAAGGCCTTACATTTTGATACTTTTGAAGTGAAATATGTGAACATGACAAGGTGCCGACACATCTACAACGATTAGAGACTGTTTGCCGTATAATTTTATCTTACGAAGTTTCCTTGGAGAAAGCTGTTTTCTCACAACTTAGGCTGTCTTTTGGATAGGGGTATACTTTGAACTGCAAAGGAAGAAGAGGATATTCATAACTGGGGCTTTTAACTAGCTCAAGCTTTGGTTGGATCTGGATTTCACAGGCACATTACCCTCCCATCCTGGAGGCCACGTCACCTGGCTTCCCAGAGCACGCATGGTTTCTAGTGCAAGCATTCTCAGAATGCCGCCATCACAACTGCAGGAAACACTGCCTTCCCATTTATGTTCTTGTGTGCACGTAGAATTTCAGTTTCTACTCCCTCAGCCTTTGAAGAAAACCACTTTTGAAGATGATAAAAGTCCTTCAAGTTCTGGAATTTATTATTGATTGACTATTTTTGTTTAGTTTTATTTTATTTTATATACCCTTTCCCCTTTCTGAGCAGATAGATCTAAAATGGAAAGCAAGGTCCCCCTCACTACTCCTTTAATATTTAAAGGCATTTTTTTAATCTTTTCTCAACACCAAAGAATGTGGGAAACATTTAAATATTTCATTCTCAAATAATTTCTCAGCTGTCTCCTTGTCACCTATCAGGAATTTGAAGAATATTTGAGCAAGTTTATTGCTTACTTTATTAATTAATAAAGTTGTATTGGGGTTTTATCTTTATTTATTTGAGAGAGAGTAAGTGAGAGAGCACAGGAGCAGAGGAAGAGGGAGAAGCAGACTCCCCAACTGAGCATGACCAGAGTTGAAGGCAGATGCTTGACTGACTGAGCCATTCAGGTGCCCCAGGGTTTTTATCTTTAAAAAGTCGTGGATACTGAGGAGGGCACGTATTGCATGGAGGACTGGGTGTTGTATGTAAGCAATGAATCTTGGAACACTGCTTCAAAAACTAGGGAAATTAGAAGGGGAGGTGAACCATGAGAGACTATGGACTCTGAAAAACAATCTGAGGGTTTTGAAGGGGCGGGGGGTGGGAGGTTGGGGGAGCCAGGTGGTGGGTATTAAGGAGGGCACGTATTGCATGGAGCACTGGGTGTGGTGCAAAAACAACGAATTCTGTTACGCTGAAAAGAAATAAAAAAAAACAACAACTAATGATGTATGGTGACTAACATAACACACACACACACAAAATAAAAATTAAAATATAGAAGAGAATTCTTTGGCTAACTCAGAAACAGCTATATTATCATCAATTTTTTTTCTGTTGATACAAGTTTTTTTAATTTATTTTTATTTATTTATTTATTTATAAAAAGATTTTATTTATTTTTTTGACAGACAGAGATCACAAGCAGGCAGAGAGGCAGGCAGAGAGAGAGAGAGAGGAGAAAGCAGGCTCCCCAAGGAGCAGAGAGCCTGATGCGAGGCTCGATCCCAGGACCCTGGGATCACAACCCGAGCCGAAGGCAGAGGCTTCAACCCACTGAGCCACCCAGGCGCCCCTGTTGATACAAGTTTTTACACATAAATAAATAAAGGACCGTTTATGCTTTGGGTATGAATTATTTCATTTCTTGTGACAGTTTTTCTGGGAGAAAAACAATTTGAATAGGTGAACATGGAAAATGATGCCTTTTTATCGATAAGAATTCTGGAGGGACTTGTGAGCTTGCATTGAAGAGATTTAGATTGGAATGTCACTATGCCAGTCAATCCATTCAAAACTTTATTTTCTAAAGTGATGAACTGTGTACTCTAAAAAGCAGTTGGGTGGGAAGCCTGGGTGGCTCAGTGGGTTAAGCCTCTGACTTCGGCTCAGGTCATGATCTCAGGGTTCTGGGATTGAGCCCCACATCAGGCTCTCTGCTCAGCAGGGAGCCTGCTTCCCCCTCTCTCTTTGCCTGCCTCTCTGCCTACTTGTGATCTCTCTCTCTGTCAAATAAATAAATAAAATCTTAAAAAAAAAAAGCTGGTTGTGCTTTACACTCTTTCATATCTTGAACTAAAGTTGGTTTTCAGTCAAAAACATTTCTTTCTCTCATTTTAAGTAAACACAGCAAGTCTTTTCATACAGTTACTGTGGTAAATGGAAACCAAAAATACTGGTAGCATGAAAAGGCTTTAGGTTGGATTTTATTAAAAAAAAAAAGTTTCCATTCTTAACAGGTTAATGATGCTGTTAGAGATCAATGATTTATTGTTGTTGGGCTGCTATTAAGAAAAAAATCTCAATAGCATGCCTATTGATCTTAGTTTTTAAGTACTCTTAGCAATTTTTCAGTGTTTGACTTACACAACCTGATCTTATTTTGTTTGTCTCTTTGTTTTAAAGATTTTATTTTTAAGTAATCTCTATACCCAATGTGGGGCTCGAACTCATAACTTCAAGATCAAGAGTTGCGTGCTGCACCTACTAAGTTGCCCCCCTCTTTTTAACCTGATCTTATTTTGAAGACTTTTGTTATACTTCTCGGAAAAAAAAAAAAAAAAAAAAAAAAAACCTCATTTGCTTTCTTTTTATTTTTTTAGCTTGCTGAAGATAATTTTTCATGTTTCTTTGCATGGACTAGTGCTTCAATACACACTAAATTACCTTATTAAATGTTAATTGTACATGGTGGGTGGGTGAGGAATTGCAGTGATTATCTACTCTCCCTCCTACCAGTATAGAAATCCCTTCTGAAACAGTCCTCTTTATCTGAGAACTTTTTTCACTCCTTAAGAGGAAATCAAGGTTTATTTTTCCATTCCCTTTCGGATTGCAGTATAAACCACTGTTGAATTATACAGCAAGTCTCCCACTAAATGCTTTCTTCCTGGTTTTAAAGGAGGGAACTTTCTCTCTTCACAGGGTCTCATAATTTTTTAAAGTGTGGAATATACGTAGGTGCTTTATAAATATTTGTGAAATTTTTAGATGAAGAGAGGTGATGCCAGGAGGAATAAATCATAGCCCTTGTTATTTTTTCTATTATTTAGTTATTTTTATTTATAAAACTTTTCCATAACATGGAAGAGAGTTAAAATTTCCTACATGGGTTTGCAAAGTTACTTTCCTAACAAGACAATAGAAATTAATAAAGATACATTGTTTTAAAATGGCTTTTTGCCACATTAAATATATGAGCTGTCGAAATATATGTGCTTTTGATTGGTTAAATCCAATCTGTATTGAACATTAAGCCCTGTATTTACCTAGGAGAAGAAGTTGGAGAGATGCTCTATCCTTTCTTAGTTCTCCCTGCTTCCTGTATTCTAAGTCTTAGAATTGTGTTGTGCTGAGGGAATGTGTGGCAGTTAATATAGTTCTACTTGGACCTTATTGTCTACTCAGTTCAAATAAGCTCTCTAGATAGCTTAATGTTTTCTTCCTAGATGATTTTCTTTGTTCCTATCCCACCATTGGTCCTCTCTAATAAGCTAGAGTAGGGATCTCTAAAAGGAATGAATGCACCCAGGGGATGTCTGAGACAGTCTGTTGGAGTTCAGGAAAAAATATTTGGATTTTCTGAATTTTTACCTAAGTATTTTTATTACCGGATTCTTTTTATAATTAATATAATTTTAGGTAATTGATAATTACCTAAAAATAATTACCTAATTATTTTTAATTTCTAACTTTGTATATTCACAAATTGACACAATATATTAGTAAAACAGTACAGTAATACATGTATATATTTTGTAACTATATATGCATGTAATGGGATGCTTTGTCAAAAACATTCACTTGATAGAGATATGCAGTTAAAAATATGGAAGCCTGTTAGCTGGAAGTCCCATCCGTTAGGGATGGCAGGCTTCCTTTTCCAGCCAATGTTATAATGGCTACCTCACACAGAAATAATTTTACAGGGGCACATGTGTGGCTCAGTTAAGCAGCTGATTCTTGATTTCAGCTCAAGTCATGATCTTAGGGTCCTGAGATGGAGCCCTGTGAGGAGCCCTGCGGGTCATGGAGCTTGCTTAGGGTTCTCTCTCTCCCTTTACCTCTCCTCCCCCCCAAAAAAGAAAAAAAAATAATTTTACAGTGCTTTTAAAGACTTGGTAACTGTCAGATGGGCAAGTATGTATTTCTTTATGCAAGAAAGTAACTTGATAAAATGTAATTATATTTGCTCAGCTGAACTATATGGATAAAAAGTTGTGAATGTCACAATTTATTAGACTTTTGTGCAATTACACTTCTGTAGTTTAAGTGAGTATTGTATGTAATGTTATTGGTTCATTGCCATTTTGAAGGATTCCGATAAGGCAATATGTTTAAAAATATGTAGAATTACTGTTTTTCAGTCTGGTTTTATTTAGATGTTGAGAAAGGTGAAGTTTTTAATTATCATGGAAGGATTTCAGATTTATTGAAATATTGCCTTTATAAAGTGATGTAATTATATACTTATAAATTATATACTTTATATTAAGTTATATACTTATAAATTCTAGTAGGAGTTAAGTGATATAATATTTATAATGTATGATAAATATATTTGTGCTAAGACTTCACTCCCTGAGAAATTTTAAATGAATAATTTTTAGGTCAAAACTTAAAGGTTCATGTAAGTTTTTATATTCTTTTTTTTTATAGTGATAAAAACAAGAGAAGAACTAAAACAGTAAAGAAAACATTGGAACCCAAATGGAACCAAACATTCATTTATTCCCCGGTCCACCGAAGAGAGTTTAGGGAGCGAATGCTAGAGATTACGCTCTGGGATCAAGCTCGAGTTCGAGAGGAAGAAAGTGAATTTTTAGGAGAGGTATCTGGAATTATTTTAAAACTGAGACTATTCATGTCCTCTTAAATACTTTTTTTCATGTGATTATCAGTAAAATCATATATTTGAATATCTGAAAAAGTAAACCGTTTCTTTCGTGGAATGAATTTATTGCTCTAAGACAAAACATTGATGCCTTAAAAAAATGGTTTCTAAATAATCTGGGACAATTTTTAGGTGTTTATTCCTATTGTAGAAATCTCAGTGTTGAATGCTGAAAGTTTGGTTTGTATTTCACAAATGTATTGCATTTGTGGCAGCTAATACGGTTCTGCTTAGCAACCAGAGCTGAAGAGTGAGTTATCGTCACACAGCATTTCTCATATACATAATCACAAACGGTCTCATCTTTGCACAGGACCCTAAAAGAATAAAAGAGTCATTATTCCTGTGGACTGGTTTCCTTTGTAAATTTATTAAATATTCATATTATAAAATCCATATGAGCATACGGTTCCTATTAAAAATCCATTCTTCACTTTCTTTCCTGTTTTGAATTCTTAGTGACATGATACATTGAACACAGAGTTTTAAATAAGACAGACTTTGATTCATATTACACCTTTCTCACTTAACAGCTAGTATGGACTTAGACCAGTTTTTTTTAACCTTTGTTAGCTTTGGTATCCTTATCTGTAAAAGTTGAATAAGACCAATCTAGCAGGTTTTTTTTCTGAGAATTAAGATAACATATGACATCGTTCTTAACGTATAGTAGACGCTTCTCATTCGGTTTTGTCTCCCCATTTAAAAATTTTCGTAAAGGTTAAATTAATAAGTGTAAATAAAATTTTTTTCAATTACCAAATAATATACAAATGGTAGTTATTACAGACTTGTAGTAATAAGCATTATTTCTGTAATGACAAATTTGCATTTCCCTGATGATTAATGATGTTAGTGATCTTTTTTTGTGTCCATTAGCTGGGTGTCTTCTTTGGAAAAATGTCTGCTCTTGTCTTCTGCCCAGTTTTTATTTATTTACTTATTTTTATTTTTTTATAAACATATAATGTATATAATGTATATAATGTAGTATCCCAGGTTTACACACTTCACAGCACTCACCGTAGCATCTGCCCAGTTTTTAAAATGGATTTTTTGATTGTTTTGGTGTTGAATTACAGAAATTCTTTATATATCTTTAATATTAATCCCTTTAACTAAGGGATTAATAAAGATCCCCTGATTAATTAAAAGGATTAGTTAAATTAATCAATCACTCAGTTAATTAGTCAATCAATTAAATGATATTAAAAGTATACCATTTGTAAATATCTTCTCCCACCCAATGGGTTACCTTGTTGTTTTGTTGAATGTTTCCTTTGTTGTGAAAAGCTTTCTCTTTTAATGTAGTCCCAATAGTTTATTTTTGCTTTTGTTTCTCTTGCCTTAAGAGACTTATTTAGAAAAATGTTGCTATGGCTCATGTCAGAGAAATTACTGCCTGTGCTCTTCTCCAGGATTTTTGTGGTTTCAGGTCTCATTTAAGTCTTTAATCCATTTTGAGTTTGTGTAAAAAAGTGGTCCAGTTTAATTCTTTGCATGTAGATGTCCAGTTTTTCCAACATCATTTGTTGAAGAGACTGTAGTTTTCCTGTTACATATTCTTGCTTCCTTTGTTGAAGATTAATTGACTACATAATTGTGGGTTGATTTCTGGACTTTCCATTCTGTTCCATTCATCTCTGTATCTATTTTTGTGCCAGCACTGTACTGTTTTGATTACTATATCTTGAAATCTGGGATTGTGATACCTCCAGTTTTGTTTTTCTTTTTCAAGATTGTTTTGGTTATTGGAGTCTTCTGTGGTTCCATATAAATTTTAGGATGATTAGTTCTGTGAAAAATGTTGGTATTTTGATAGGTTGCCTTAAATCTGTAGATTGCTTTGGGTAATAGGGATGTTTTAATAATTTCCAATGCACAAGCGTGGAATATCTTCCCATTTGTTTGTCTCATCTTCAGTTTCTTTCATGTGTTTTATAGTTTCAGAGTACAGGTCTTTCATCTCCTTGGTTAAGTTTACTCCTAGGTGTTTCTTTTTTTTGTTTGTTTGTTTTTTTAATTTTTTGTGCCATTGTAAATAGGATGGTTTTCTTAATTTCTTTTTCTACTACTTCATAATTATTGTATAGAAATGTAACAGATTTTTAATTTTCTATTCTGTGACCTTGCTGAATTCATTTATCCATTCTAGTAGTTTTTTTGGCTGAGTCTTTAGGGTTTCCTGTATATAATGTCATGTCCTCTGCAAATAGTAAAAATTTTGCTTCTTCCTTACCAATTTTGATGCCTTTTACTTCTTTTTTTTGACTGAGTGTTGTGGCTGGGACTTCTGGTACTATGTTGAATAATAGTGGTGAGAGTAGACATCTTCATCTTTTTTTTGATTTTAGGGGAAAAGTTTTCAGTTTTTCACCTTTGAATATGATGTTAGCTGTGGGTTTTTCCTATATGGCCTTTATTATGTTGAAGTATGTTCCCTCTAAACCTACTTTGTTTAGGGTTTTTGTCATGAATGTACTTTGTCAAATGGTTTCCTGCATCTACTGAAATGATCATATGGTTTTTATCCTTTCTCTTATTGATATGATATATCACATTGATTGGTGTATATTGAACCACCCTGTATCCCAGGAATAAATCCCACTTGATTGTGGTGAATGATTTTTTTAGTGTATTTTTGGATTTAGTTTGCTAGTACTTTGTTGAGAATTTTTACATCTGTGTTTATCAGAGATATTGGCCTGTATTTTTTTTTTCCTTTTTTGTACTATCTTTATGTAATGGCAAATTTAACAGTAGGTGGGTAGTCAGAGGTCTATAAAAAATTTAGATATTTAAAACTTTTAAGTCAGTAAGAAGTTATGCATATTTAACTTTTATTTAGTTATTGTCAAAATATATGGACAATTTTGTAACATAACATTGTTTTTGACCAACAGCATTATTATTATCATTATTATAAAAGTTATGAGACCATTTAAGAGAGTTTCTATGTTGTGGATATATAATGTTCTTTTGTCTCTTGGCTTTGTAGATTTTAATTGAATTAGAAACAGCATTATTAGATGATGAGCCACATTGGTACAAACTTCAGACCCATGATGTTTCTTCATTACCACTTCCCCACCCTTCTCCATATATGCCACGACGACAGCTGCATGGAGAGAGCCCAACAAGGAGGTTGCAAAGTAAGTTTTCAGTGAGATTTATCAGACCATTATGAATGACCTTAAATGATATACATATATGACATAGAATTTGAAGATCCCATTATGGGTATTAACAGGCATCTATTAGTGTTTTCATAGCTACTGATGGTTTTAAATTGATACACTAAAATGAGGTTATACTTAAAGCATTCATTTGTCATGGTATGACCCCACAGTTATGTTTTAATTTTGGCTGTTGGAAATGTACATAGAAATGAGATAGCAACTATAGTAAAATTTGGTCAGGTAGCTCTACATGTCTGAAATTATGATTTCCATCTTCATTATGCTAACTATTTGATAAATATATAGGATGACAAGTATAGTATAGTGGTTGAAACCATGACCATGAGTATTAGTCAAACAAACATGGGTTTAAAGTTTGATTCTCTCACTTAAGAGGCATATGACTTCAAGTAGGTTCTCTCTCTAATTCACTGTCCTCGTTTATAAAAGTTAAATATTCTCGGGAATATAAACTGATGTGATTATTGTTGTTATTATTATCATTAGTGTTTGCATTTTACCCTGAATTATACATAGTCCAAAATATCAAATAGAATTTGATCAATTCAGAGAATCTTAAAAGAAATATGGAAATGTTTTCTAGACTGAAAAGTGGCATTATTGGTTTGTTGTTCCTACAAATCTAATTTGTTTTCTTGATGAGTCTATTATTAAAAGGGGGAGGTGTCTACTCACTTCTTTGTGTAGTATTCATGGGATAATTTTATCTTCATGGAGTCAGCATTTTCCAGGCTTAGCAACATTTTTTTGTGCAGTAATGGAGAATTGATTGACATTAACCAAATTTCAGAAGTGTACATTTATAAGCACAAAAGGCATGTCATTTATCAATCATGGGAAATGTATTTGGCAACATAACAAATGACTCTGGTCTACGTGGATCACATTCTCCCTGCTGAATAGAGGACTAAATTATATATCAGAAGGCTATTTGATGAATAGAGAATTAGAAGAAAGGATAGGTCTTATGGGATATTTAGTCATAAGAAAGCCTAGAGAATTAACTTTACTCTTTTTTAAAATAATGTCTCTGATGACTAGAATTTTATTTCCACTAGTTACAGTCTCTCATTATTTAAACACTAATTTTACAGCACTCACTTTTTTCAGCTTCTCCATAGAGTAAACATTTACCCACAGTTATTTGCAATTGCCTTTACAACATCTCTTGTTGTAATAATTACACTACTATGAATTTTATGTGGAGTCATTTTATGTGGAGTCATACAAAAGTGTATTCTTTTGGGTCACTGTAATCCACCCAAGTACTTCTCTCTAAATCACAGGGTAAGATCATGGGTTACTACACGAAGTTTACTAATACAAACCATTTCATACTAATTCTTATAGTTTGTTTATAGGTTGCTACTAATACTTACTCCAGTTGCTATTACAGAATCTTAATATCTAAACTCTTAGATCTACCAACAATTTGCATTACTTTTTTCCTCCCCAGTGAATTAAGAATAGTGGAAGAACAATGAGGATGGACTCTTTCTAGTTAGCTACATGTATCATAGATTTTCATGCAATTAATTTGATTTAGTTAAGTTTATAGCTTTTAATATTTAATCATTTCCCAAATAGCTCCTCTGCTACTTAATCATTAATAGTATTAAATTCACTCATGGGTAATATGGTTTCACGTTGCACCATTCAGTCTTGTCACTACCTACCAACTAACCTCTGATAAAATAAATTTTCAGTATTCGAACATATGGTAAAAATTGGTGTTTTGCATCTACAATGTAATCATATTTTATTAGTAATGTGTAACACTGAAGATAAATAAAAACGTGTACATATAATAAAGGAAATGAAGATTAGGAGATAACACTTAGAAATAGAAGGTTAAAGACATTACTATTGGCTGAGGATATATTGCTCATCAATGTCAAGTTCAAGTTAAGGTACGTATAAGTAAACATTAATTATTTAAAAAATTCATTCATAAGAATGACCTCCTTAAGGGTTTGTTTGTTGTTGTTTTTTTTTTTCATGGAAAGAGTAAATATTGCGTTTATGTCATATTTGGTTAAAGATCATGATCATTAACATATTTGATGAAACGTATGCATGAATAGTTATCATCAAAAATATATAATAATCCCTCATTTCTTCTCTACATTCACATAATAGAATATGTTGGTAACTCCATCTCTCAGGCTGTGAGCTGAGGCTATTATATATACATATATGTATATATGTACATATATACATATATAGCATTTAATATACATATATACATATGTATATATACACATATACATATACAGCTATATATATATACACACGCATATATACACACACATATATATCAATATATATATTGAACATATATATGGATATTTATCGGTATTGTTGGAATTCTGTTTTCTCTGCTCATGATTTCCTATTTTAATCTATTTGTAGATTCAAATTCAAATTCACATTTGTAGATTCAAATGATTCAAATGATTCAAAAAACTATTTCATTTCCATGGACTTTAGTGATTTATAATTTTAAACATGTAAGGAAATATTTTAAAAAGCACTCTAATAATAATGGCATATATCTTATAGCTAACTTAAATATTTTTTAAATTCTTTTTGAGATGGAAGTCCAGGCAACTTTGATTATAACATTTGAATGGTTTCCCTAGTAAAGGAATTAGTGAAGGTATTTGAAATGGATAGCTTCTTCTTGTACCAGTATTTCTGTATGTGGCAAAGTAAGAGAGTTCTACGTATTAAAACATCTGTAGAAAGGGCCACATGCTCATTGCTCATGTCTGAAAGAAATTAGATTATGAGAAATTAAATTTTAATATGAAAGTAATATTTTCTATAATTTTTAACTTCAGGCTACTTTCACCCACTGTTATCCCAGATGTTATTTAGACATTACCAAATGTGCATATTTCAAAGAGTGATTAATTAAGCATTTTTAAAAAGTTGTGAGCAAGATTGGAGCCATATGTTCAAATAACTAAAATTTTTCAATAGAGAAGTGAGATTGCTTTTACAGATGGTAAAATATCTCACATATTCACATAATTTTATTTTGATTCATTGGTGAGAAACTCTTCATTATTCTCTTGACACATAGATTATTTTTGAAGGTATATTTTGATGTATAAGTTTTTATTTTTATATATTCCTTACTCTCATTCAGTTAAAGTTGCATAGTGTCTTAAGTGAATATTTTCCTTTTTAACATGACAAAAGTCATTTACAAATTTGTTACTTGGTATCTTATTAACCATTCTCATCACAATTTGAACTATACAGATGAAAAAGAGTTTTCTTTTTTGTTCTTTTATTCTTTTCCTAGTCCCATTTTAATCAGATTCATCTCTTTGACATCTCAGATGTTAATTCTTTATTTAGCAAAATGTAACATTATTACCCTTTCACTTTTTGAAATAGATAACTTCACATCTACTATTTTTATACAGTCTCATAACCACAAATCTTTAGAAAAGTGAATGGAAATAAATCATTGGGACAAAACCAAAATGATGGTTTTGAGAGGTGTTAGGTAAAAGAGATGTGATTTCATCATGTAAGTTTCTCAAGATTTCAACCATTTGAGATGTTTTTTGGCCAATGTTCTAATTTTCTATGCCATTCTCTTATTTATCTCTTTCTGGGACTGCAGTTACATGTTTAAAGATCTCTTAACATTGTTCTACAGGTTATTGAGTTCTGTTTATTTTTTAATTTCTTTTTCCTCTCTTACTCAGTTTTGATTATTTTTACTTATCGTGTCTTTAAGTTACTGGTATTTTCTTCTACAGTGTCCAATTTCTCTGAAATTCATACTACGAATTGTTTTAGCAAAAATGTATTTTTCATTTTAAAATTTACATTTGGTTTTCTTAGAACTACCTATATCCTTCCTGAAATTCCTCTTTTTATTATATCCCTGTGTGGATAATATTATATACATATATGATGTCTATGTGTATAAATATATTAATAATTTACAGGATCACATGTATACACATATGTAAATGTATGGAAATCCATAGCATTACATATATACATACATATGTACATAGCTGTACATGTGTGTGTGTAATGTACATACATGTATGTTCAGTATCTATATTGTATTTATATATAATGTATGTGTGTGTGTAATCCTGGGAATTCTCACATACATTTATAATATTTATTTTAAAATCTGCTAACTGCAATATCTTAGTCTTCTGTGGGTCTACTTATATTTCTGATTTTTTCCTTTGATTCTGGATCACATTCCATGTGTTTTACATATATAATAATTTTTTATTGTATACTGGACATTGTGTTTCCTACCTTTTAGAGGCTCTGGATTTGGAAAAATGTTGGCTTTTATTTTGGTAGACAGTGAAATTATTGAAGGATCACCTAAAACATATGAAGGATATGTTAAGGCAATTCTATTTTGGTTCTTCCTTAGTTCTAAAGCATAGTCCTTAGTCTGGATTGTGGTTTTCATTCCTAATGTGTGAACTTCCCAGGCAAAGTCCAAGATATTGGCCAAAATCCCATGATATCACTGGACTTAAACTCCAGACTCTGTGTCCCTGTGCATCAAGAAGTTGCATCTCTTTTAGCTTTCCAGCTGTGGCTTTCTTCTTGTTTTTCCCTCTGCAGTTTACAATTTAGGGAAGGATTTAGGGGGCTGTTGTATGTAAATTTTGTGCCTCCCCTTTTCTGGCTCCCTCTTTTCCAGGATTTTCCTTATAATTCTAGCTGCTCTGAAAACTCTGAATTCTGACCGCTGGCTCTTCAGCCATGTAAGAATGAAACTTTTTTCTTGAGCTATAGCACCTCTGCAGGGCACCAAACCGGGAAGGCCCTTAGGAGAAAAGCTGTTTCAGTATGTGCTTTTCTTATTTCAAGGGCCATGCACCAATTTCTGCCTGCATCTGTTTGTTGTCTGGTGTCTTTAAACAGTTTTTGTTAAAATATTTGTCCAATAT